TGCAACACTGAAAACTTGTCGCTTTAACTATATCCATACTTTCTGTTATTCTGCCATTTACTTATTGAGATTGAGAGACAAGAGTACATCCATCGTATATGTCATCACGGAAATCGATTGTCAGTGATTAAGACCATATGGAATTTTGGCGCTGCAGTAGACCTGGAGGTGCACTAGACCTTAATGCCGTGAAAAGTTCACAATACAGGATTTTATTACAAGTTTTAACAAAACCTTGGAAAATACATACAACTGTAAACAAAACGAGGGTAACATCCAAATCAACAAAAACTAAAGTGTTTAGATAATAACCCGACCGAGCAGTTCGGTACGGCTGTTAGGAACGCACGCCTTTGTAACCGATACACGTCAGCTACTGTGACCGAGCAGTTCGGTACGGCTGTTAGGAACGCACGCCTTTGTAACCGATACACGTCAGCTACTGTGACCGAGCAGTTCGGTACGGCTGTTAGGAACGCACGCCTTTGTAACCGATACACGTCAGCTACTGTGACCGAGCAGTTCGGTACGGCTGCTAGGAACGCACGCCTTTGTAACCGATACACGTCAGCTACTGTGACCGAGCAGTTCGGTACGGCTGTTAGGAACACACGCCTTTGTAACCGATACACGTCAGCTACTGTGACCGAGCAGTTCGGTACGGCTGCTAGGAACGCACGCCTTTGTAACCGATACACGTCAGCTACTGTGACCGAGCAGTTCGGTACGGCTGTTAGGAACGCACGCCTTTGTAACCGATACACGTCAGCTACTGTGACCGTGCAGTTCGGTACGGCTGCTAGGAACGCACGCCTTTGTAACCGATACACGTCAGCTACTGTGACCGAGCAGTTCGGTACGGCTGCTAGGAACGCACGCCTTTGTAACCGATACACGTCAGCTACTGTGACCGAGCAGTTCGGTACGGCTGTTAGGAACACACGCCTTTGTAACCGATACACGTCAGCTACTGTGACCGAGCAGTTCGGTACGGCTGCTAGGAACGCACGCCTTTGTAACCGATACACGTCAGCTACTGTGACCGAGCAGTTCGGTACGGCTGATAGGAAACGCACGCCTTTGTAACCGATACACGTCAGCTACTGTGACCGAGCAGTTCGGTACGGCTGCTAGGAACGCACGCCTTTGTAACCGATACACGTCAGCTACTGTGACCGAGCAGTTCGGTACGGCTGTTAGGAACACACGCCTTTGTAACCGATACACGTCAGCTACTGTGACCGAGCAGTTCGGTACGGCTGCTAGGAACGCACGCCTTTGTAACCGATACACGTCAGCTACTGTGACCGAGCAGTTCGGTACGGCTGTTAGGAACACACGCCTTTGTAACCGATACACGTCAGCTACTGTGACCGAGCAGTTCGGTACGGCTGTTAGGAACACACGCCTTTGTAACCGATACACGTCAGCTACTGTGACCGAGCAGTTCGGTACGGCTGCTAGGAACACACGCCTTTGTAACCGATACACGTCAGCTACTGTGACCGAGCAGTTCGGTACGGCTGCTAGGAACACACGTCCTTGTACCCGATAGACGTCAGCTACTGTGACCGAGCAGTTCGGTACGGCTGTTAGGAACACACGCCTTTGTAACCGATACACGTCAGCTACTGTGACCGAGCAGTTCGGTACGGCTGCTAGGAACGCACGCCTTTGTAACCGATACACGTCAGCTACTGTGACCGAGCAGTTCGGTACGGCTGTTAGGAACACACGCCTTTGTAACCGATACACGTCAGCTACTGTGACCGAGCAGTTCGGTACGGCTGCTAGGAACACACGCCTTTGTAACCGATACACGTCAGCTACTGTGACCGAGCAGTTCGGTACGGCTGCTAGGAACGAAACACACGCCTTTGTAACCGATGCACGTCAGCTACTGTGACCGAGCAGTTCGGTACGGCTGTTAGGAACACACGCCTTTGTAACCGATACACGTCAGCTACTGTGACCGAGCAGTTCGGTACGGCTGCTAGGAACACACGCCTTTGTAACCGATACACGTCAGCTACTGTGACCGAGCAGTTCGGTACGGCTGCTAGGAACGAAACACACGCCTTTGTAACCGATGCACGTCAGCTACTGTGACCGAGCAGTTCGGTACGGCTGCTAGGAACACACGCCTTTGTAACCGATACACGTCATCTACTATGACCGAGCAGTACGGTACGGCTGCTAGGAACACACGCCTTTGTAACCGATACACGTAAGCTACTGTGACCGAGCAGTTCGGTACGGCTGCTAGGAACACACGTCCTTGTACCCGATAGACGTCAGCTACTGTGACCGGGCAGTTCGGTACGGCTGCTAGGAACACACGCCTTTGTAACCGATACACGTCAGCTACTGTGACCGAGCAGTACGGTACGGCTGCTAGGAACACACGCCTTTGTAACCGATACACGTCAGCTACTGTGACCGAGCAGTTCGGTACGGCTGCTAGGAACACACGCCTTTGTACCCGATACACGTTAGCTACTGTGACCGAGCAGTTCGGTACGGCTGCTAGGAACGAAACACACGCCTTTGTAACCGATACACGTCAGCTACTGTGACCGAGCAGTTCGGTACGGCTGCTAGGAACGAAGCACACGTCTTTGTACCCGATACACGTCAGCTACTGTGACCGAGCAGTTCGGTACGGCTGCTAGGAACGCACGCCTTTGTAACCGATACACGTCAGCTACTGTGACCGAGCAGTTCGGTACGGCTGTTAGGAACACACGCCTTTGTAACCGATACACGTCAGCTACTGTGACCGAGCAGTTCGGTACGGCTGCTAGGAACACACGCCTTTGTAACCGATACACGTCAGCTACTGTGACCGAGCAGTTCGGTACGGCTGCTAGGAACGAAACACACGCCTTTGTAACCGATGCACGTCAGCTACTATGACCGAGCAGTTCGGTACGGCTGCTAGGAACACACGCCTTTGTAACCGATACACGTCATCTACTATGACCGAGCAGTACGGTACGGCTGCTAGGAACACACGCCTTTGTAACCGATACACGTAAGCTACTGTGACCGAGCAGTTCGGTACGGCTGCTAGGAACACACGTCCTTGTACCCGATAGACGTCAGCTACTGTGACCGGGCAGTTCGGTACGGCTGCTAGGAACACACGCCTTTGTAACCGATACACGTCAGCTACTGTGACCGAGCAGTACGGTACGGCTGCTAGGAACACACGCCTTTGTAACCGATACACGTCAGCTACTGTGACCGAGCAGTTCGGTACGGCTGCTAGGAACACACGCCTTTGTACCCGATACACGTTAGCTACTGTGACCGAGCAGTTCGGTACGGCTGCTAGGAACGAAACACACGCCTTTGTAACCGATACACGTCAGCTACTGTGACCGAGCAGTTCGGTACGGCTGCTAGGAACGAAGCACACGTCTTTGTACCCGATACACGTCAGCTACTGTGACCGAGCAGTTCGGTACGGCTGCTAGGAACGAAACACACGCCTTTGTACCCGATAGACGTCAGCTACTGTGACCGAGCAGTTCGGTACGGACATCGTCATTGTTAATCACTCAGGTTTGCATCTCAAAGGAATTTGTTTACTGTAAGCAAAAGCGTTATTGAGCAATCTCGGCTTTGTATATAAGGCTTTATTGAAATTACTAGACATCTATATAAAATAAATGAATTTGAAAGTTGTTTCAGTAATCTTTATAAGTCATTGGGTATTTTCATGTACAATTTTCGAGTATAAAAGTTAAATGATCGGGATATGGGCCGTTTAGAGACTAGAGAACTTTAGGTCATCGCCGACACTGTGGCTGGTTGTACGTTTGGGAACACAGTGTGTGTACAAAGTGGTTTATAGTTTCAATGGAGCTCTATGTAAACATTTATTGTGAAATCATCATTTGCTGTCGGGTTTTAATTTCAACGCATTCATATGTCTATGAACTACCTGTTGAAAATAGTATAAGTAATTATTATCAAGCTATAATTATCCACGAAATCAAATAGCCAAGAATTTTTTTAACCACGAAATTGATTCACACGTAGATATTTTTTTATTTTTCGATATAATACAAAAATAAATCTTTCTAGTACATAGTTAACTATTCCATTACTGATCTCACAACATAAATTTATTGAACTTTGAATTAATTTATTGAAATGTACCGCGTATTTTGAAAAAAAAACTTGCACACACTAACATCACATTGGTGTTGTACTCCTGTGTTTTTTCCCATTCGACTCCTATGCTATCTCTTTTACTTTTCAAAGTCAGTTATAAAGGACGATACACATTATGTATTACACATATCAATGTTAATGAAAATGTTTTCTCTGGGAATACACAAACATTACACACAAAAATCTAATTTGTACGGAAACCTACTCATGTCCTTTCAAATTCATTTCAATTCATTTAATATCTTATGAAAATAAATAACAACAGCAATAATAATAAGATACAATCACTTTCAACTGTATAAACAACTGTGGAAAAATCATAAGGTTTATCGACATTTTGTAGTTTTACGCAGGTTTACAAATATATAATTGACTGGAGGTCATTGCTGCAATATACATTGATAGGTACCAGTAAACGTCTTCATGACAGACGTTATTTCGTTAAAAATAAATAATGAATGACCCAAAATTATGTTCATTAAATTGAAATGGATTGAAATAAAGTTTCAGTTCAGAGTATGAGTTTTAAATTTAATTGCTATTGTTCTGTGTCTTGGTTTCCACGTGATATTCTAGTTCTTACGTTCTAAACAGTTGCCATGGTTACCATTGTCATTATAAACGATGGCGTGTTCTTGTTATTGATCACGATTTCTACCTTTTTTCGAAGTCTCAGTCCTTTCCTTGGTTTAATTTTGCTTTACAATGTTACCACGCAATTTATACACTTCTCAAAGAATTAAGCTTTGAAAACTAAACACTATATATTTTTAATGGCCAATTAACAATTTATTTCGTGTAAGATGTGATGACACCCATTAATGAGGAAGCATTTCAATGTAATCCACGATCATGGCGACATCCTCTCCGTTCCACGTGTGACTCCAGGAGCCTCTGGCGTCCCAGAAGTCTCTCATTGGGTGGTTAGAATGACCCCATGGTTTGGCAACGTCATACTGTCCATCACCGAAGAAATTTCCTCCAACAGCTACATTCAGGATCAGTTGGAACTACAACAAATGGCCAACATGTCAACAGAATCCTAATTCACAATCAATTTGGACGATACCCGCCACGTAAACCTTGTTGAATAGAAGTAATATCATTTTCCATGAACGAGAACACTAGGAACATAACTGAGAGTGTTAGATAGACATTTATTTAGCATTATTTAAACATTTGAGGTCAGTTGATATATGTAGGAACAAAATTTAAGACGATTTTCGTAATTCGAATCTAAACCGAAATTTTATATGCTAAAGTTATCTCCCATATTTAACGCATTGTTTGAAGGCTTGAAGTATAAACGGTCAGTGACATCGGTAGTGTTATACATTGGCATTGGGAGTTGTAGTAATCTAAAGAACAAGCACGGACAAGCAATGGTAATATTTTGAATTTTTTTGGTCAACTTACCTAGGAGGATCCATACAAATTTGATCGAAGTAAAGCCAGTTCGAAAACACTGAACTCAGACGACAAAGTAATATGGTCTTTCTACTAGCCGTAATAACAAACTACAAACCCTTCGAAATGAATTCATGTTATCATCGTATTCTGAAGGTGCTGCGGGATATATTTTGGTGTCTTTCTCATTGAACCTGCCGGCTTATCAAACTGATAGTGCCCTATCGAGTCCGAAAACATTTATCTTCGACACAGAATGACGACACGGGATCGGCATATATGACAACGATGAGGTATACTTACCGGTTGATCAAAGGGGGCGTTCTTGCCACCAGATGCCCAAATGTTGTTTCCACTGAATCCTCCCCAGCCCCAGAAACTTTGGCTCGGGGTGTTTATTCTCATGATCTCAGCATTGTCAACATAAGTGCTTCAGAGATAAAGAATAATTCTTACACAATGAATATTTTGCCGTCAATATGACAGTAAGAAGAAAGTTACTAAATTACATTTATATCAAACACAAAATTTTCAGCGTCACAAAGCAGAAAAAGAAACCCGAAGACACATGCCAAACGAGGTACATTGTGATTACCAACGAACCATGAGTGGCGTCTGTTATGGGATGGTTTAACCAACTGGAATCTATAATCCAGTATACTGATATTTAAAAAGGCTGACAATAAAAACCTGGAGTTATAGTTGATTATATTAAATTTGACACTGAAGGACGATGTTTAAAAAAAAAAAAAAACAGATTTTTTCCCCTCAAAGGAATAAATTCACCCATTAAAAACCTTCAAACCAAATTTTCGTATGACCCTTGTACACTTAGAGCGCAGTTTACTGATGTCTTTCAAAACTTGCACCAAAATAAATAATAATAGATTTGACGTTAAAATTCCAAGGTCCAAATGTTTAAAAACAGAGTTTATTGATGCCTGTCAACATCTGAACCAAAACCTTGATATTGAGAAACCAACACCGACGCCACGCTGACATCGACGCCGACGCTGTGGTGACAACTTAAACTGCGACTCTCTTCGAGAGCTCAGCTTAAAATACATATAAATACTAATCTTATGGACTTACTGATGTATATATATTTATTCAAAAAGATTAACACAGAGTACCTGTAATTAGAGTCCAGCTTTAGGCGAAATATCTCTTAATGACAAAGCCATTCACGCAAACTGTTTATGTTTTTCTTGGCTAGAGGAACTGGATAAAGATATGAACACTTACATTATGTGGTCTGCGTTCCAGTCGAGTGAGTACGTATGCCAGTCATGCCAGTCACCTCCTCCGTCCTTCCTCCTGTCAATGTCCACCAATAAATGTCAGGCATATGTTTGTATAAATTGTTTATGATGACGTCATGTCAATTGTTGTCTTTTTTCAAAAAGACAAAACTTGAAGAGGTGAAATCTTCAATGTGGCGTCAATGAACAATTAGATGCTTTCGATAACTTAGTTACGTAAAGTCAGCCTCTACTTCTGACGTCATAACAGGTCAAATAACATAGGTCCACACTCTCTTCATGTGTGAATATACAAATGTACGACCAACACAGTAACATAGCCTCAATAAAGTGTTGAACCCGATAGATTTATAGGTGCTTGTTTTTAATGGACTGTAGACACCGTATGTATGTATGACGAAGCATACTTAAGGACACTCGTTTTGTGTCTAATGGACTGTAAACACCTTACATGTTTGATGACGAAGCATACTTAAGGACACTCGTTTTGTATCTAATTGACTGTAGACACCTTACATGTTTGATGACGAAGCATACTTAAGGACACTCGTTTTGTATCTAATGGACTGTAGACACCTTACATGTTTGATGACGAAGCATACTTAAGGACACTCGTTTTGTATCTAATGGACTATAGACACCTTACATGTATGTATGACGTAGCATACTTAAGGACACTCGTTTTGTATCTAATTTACTGTAGACACCTTACATGTATGTATGACGTAGCATACTTAAGGACGCTCGTTTTGTGTCTAATTGACTGTAGACACCTTACATGTTTGATGACGTAGCATACTTAAGGACACTCGTTTTGTAGCTAATGGACTGTAGACACCTTACATGTTTGATTACGAAGCATACTTACGGACACTCGTTTTGTATCTAATTGACTGTAGACACCTTACATGTTTGATGACGAAGCATACTTAAGGACACTCGTTTTGTATCTAATTTACTGTAGACACCTTACATGTTTGATTACGAAGCATACTTAAGGACACTCGTTTTGTATCTAATTTACTGTAGACACCTTACATGTTTGTATGACGAAGCATACTTAAGGACACTCGTTTTGTATCTAATGGACTGTAGACACCTTACATGTATGTATGACGAAACATACTTAAGGACACTCGTTTTGTATCTAATTGACTGTAGACACCTTACATGTTTGATGACGTATAGTTTTTTGTTTTGTATCGATAATTGAACCTTACTTATCGGCGTGGGTTTTGTAAAACGCATTATGATTGTAGGCGGGACCCCAGTGAAGAGTTGAACCAACATTGTTGACGCCCTGGTTTACACCACCCAAAATAGCCCTTGCGTTACCTGTAAATATAAACAAGTTATGACGTCATCATTATGCAAAATAGATAATTGATAATGTCAATACCAGAAAACACATATTCTTATCTATAGAAAACAAACTTCAACATGTTCCACACTTGTAGCGACAAATGTCTTGTTGAGGAGTGAAAGTTTCTGCCGAATCCCTGTAAACTGTTAAGTATTATTTGATTCAATAGTATGTTCAACGTTACCTCTAGACTCCATAAGGTCGATTTCTCCAGAACGAGGCCAGCCACCATAATGCCAATCTCTTGGCAACATCCAGATGGCTACAAGAAAATTGCTTTAATTATTGTTAGGTCTCACAGAGAAAACACAAATAAGCAAGGTATCAAAGACACATAGGTGAAAAGCAAATATCAAAACGAAATTAAGAATAAGATATAGAAGAGATAAATCAAACTGCCCTTCTAAGACTCGTCAGTGATGTTTAAATTGTTGACGCTGTTGTTAATGTCCCTTATTTTATACGAGCTCTTTTAAAATTAATATAAATCCCGATAAATATATTGTCTCGAAAAAAACCCACATTAGTGCTGGTCCTGTAAATATATATATATATATATATTATGAAAACACTATATATATATATATTATGAAAACACTATATATATATATATATATATATAACATGTTTTCATTCGTGAAAAATGTAAATAATCTGCAAGATCATTTATCCTACTATACTTTAAATTGATTTCATTAAGTCTTCCTCATTATAACGAGTTCTTCCTCATTATAGCGAGTACTTCCTCATTATAACGAGTTCTTCCTCATTATAATGCGTTCTTCCTCATTATAACGCGTTCTTCCTCATTATAACGAGTTCTTCCTCATTATGACGAGTTCTTCCTCATTATGACGAGTTCTTCCTCGGTATAACGAGTTCTTCCTCGGTATAACGAGCTCTTCCTCATTATAACGAGTTCATCCTCATTATAACGAGTTCATCCTCGGTATAACGAGTTCTTCCTCATTATAACGCGTTCTTCCTCAGTATAACGAGTTCTTCTCATTATAACGAGTTCTTCCTCATTATAACGAGTTCTTCCTCATTATAACGAGTTCTTCCTCGGTATAACGAGTTCTTCCTCATTATAACGAGTTCTTCCTCGGTATAACGAGTTCTTCCTCGGTATAACGAGTTCTTCCTCATTATAACGAGTTCTTTTCTCATTATAACGGGTTCTTCCTCGGTATAACGAGTTCTTCCTCATTATAACGCGTTCTTCCTCAGTATAACGAGTTCTTCTCATTATAGCGAGTTCTTCCTCGGTATAACGAGTTCTTCCTCATTATAACGCGTTCTTCCTCAGTATAACGAGTTCTTCTCATTATAGCGAGTTCTTCCTCGGTATAACGAGTTCTTCCTCATTATAACGCGTTCTTCCTCAGTATAACGAGTTCTTCTCATTATAACGCGTTCTTCCACAGTATAACGAGTTCTTCTCATTATGACGAGTTCTTCCTCATTATAACGAGTTCTTCCTCATTATGACGAGTTCTTCCTCGGTATAACGAGTTCTTCCTCGGTATAACGAGCTCTTCCTCATTATAACGAGTTCATCCTCATTATAACGAGTTCTTCCTCGGTATAACGAGTTCTTCCTCATTATAACGCGTTCTTCCTCAGTATAACGAGTTCTTCTCATTATAGTGAGTTCTTCCTCGGTATAACGAGTTCTTCCTCATTATAACGCGTTCTTCCACAGTATAACGAGTTCTTCTCATTATAGCGAGTTCTTCCTCGGTATAACGAGCTCTTCCTCATTATAACGAGTTCATCCTCATTATAACGAGTTCTTTCTCATTATAGCGAGTTCTTCCTCGGTATAACGAGTTCTTCCTCATTATAACGAGTTCATCCTCATTATAACGAGTTCTTTCTCATTATAGCGAGTTCTTCCTCGGTATAACGAGTTCTTCCTCATTATAACGAGTTCTTCCTCATTATAACGAGTTCTTTTCTCATTATAACGAGTTCTTTTCTCATTATAACGAGCTCTTCCTCATTATAACGAGTTCTTCCTCATTATAACGAGTTCTTTTCTCATTATAACGAGTTCTTTTCTCATTATAGCGAGTTCTTCCTCATTATAGCGAGTTCTTCCTCATTATAGCGAGTTCTTCCTCGGTATAACGGGTTCTTTTCTCATTATAACGAGTTCTTCCTCATTATAGCGATTTCTTTCTCATTATAGCGAGTTCTTCCTCGGTATAACGAGTTCTTCCTCATTATAACGAGTTCTTCCTCATTATAACGAGTTCTTCCTCGGTATAACGGGTTCTTTTCTCATTATAACGAGCTCTTCCTCGTTAAAACGACTTTCTTCCTCATTATAACTAGTGCATATTTCGTAATAATGACTTTCATTCTCTACGGCTTCAAAGAAATCAACTTCGACTTACCGGGCCAGAGCCAGTCTCCCTTGGGGATCTTGGCACGTACATTTACACGTCCGTACTTCATGGCAAAGTTAGTTGTAATCTTGCCGGACATGATCGGGGGCAAAATCTCGCCGTTATGCGTAGTTTTATGACAGCCATTGTTGTCATGCTGTGTACACGTACCCCACAAGTCTAAAAATAATGATAATTAAATGAATGCAATTTTACAGTAAAATGTTCAATTTTTGTTCGGATTATTTTATTTTTTGCATTTTTCTCGCCTTGCTCTTCGTTTCTTTTCATATTTTTTTTCGATATTGAACTCCTTCAGTCTTATTTCATTTCTGTACCTAATTATGTAATAAACAAACAGAAATTCGAATATAGTCACATTAAAACAATATCTTGTTTTTTTCTCTCCATCATTAATCTCACAAAACACTTATACTTTGTGACATTTTCTATAACACGTTTTTCAATTATCCTTGTGTTGCAACTAATTTGTTAGTTGAGGAGACGGTTTCGATATTCCTCGCTATAAACATGAATTTTACTTTAGTTACATGATGAATGACGTCACACTGGATATCAGATCGTTTGAAAAATACATTGTAAACGCATGTGTTTTAGCGGCAAACTCGTTTTAGCTCTTTCCACTCTGAAACTATTGCACTAAAATAGTATTGCTTGTGTTGTAGATATCGGATTGATTTGTTTAAGAAATAAATAATGAACTCAAATAAGATTACGCCTATTTTTGTTTACTTTTGTATTTGTGTGTATGTTTTAATCACAGTAAGTGTTAAAAATGATATGGTCCCTTATCAAAAGCCTCACAATGGAGAAAAAACTTACTATATAGATTCATGTCTCCGTGATAGAGGTCATTATTACTAAAGTGTGGGCTCGATGTCGTGAACGTCTGTTTAAAAACCAAAATAATTCATCTTAGAAATAGGTCTCACCAAAGCTATAATCAATTGCACCTGTCTATTATTCATTAACACCATGTAATATTCGATAATACGGTACAACCAACCCCCCAACAACCCCATCCCCCCCACCCCCAACCCCCCACCACCACCACCACGACCTCCACACCCTCCCTCCCCGCCCAAATGATGTTATGTACCATTATATAATGTTATGATTAATAGCAAAATCATTTTGGACACCAATCTTCCATATTTTGCCATCTTAAATGCGTTAGAAGCAGCCAACGTGTGACGTAACAGAATGTGACGTAATAGAAATTGTGATGTAATAAAATATTAAAATATTATATAACAAAGCGAAGACTCACCGGTCGGATGTAAAGCTTCCCATCCCTTACGTACAAGTTACTTTGCTCTGGCGTGTACACCTGGAACTCGTTGTTCTTAAAGGGAAAGCAAACATTATTGTGACAGAGATTGAATAGTGTGCAAATGGAACGCATCGTTCTTAAAGGGAGAGCAAACATTATTGTGACAGAGATTGAATAGTGTGCAAATGGAACGCATCGTTCTTAAAGGGAGAGCAAACATTATTGTGACAGAGATTGAATAGTGTGCAAATGGAACGCATCGTTCTTAAAGGGAAAGCAAACATTATTGTAACAGAGATTGAATAGTGTGCAAATGGAACGCATCGTTCTTAAAGGGAGAGCAAACATTATTGTGACAGAGATTGAATAGTGTGCAAATGGAACGCATCGTTCTTAAAGGGAGAGCAAACATTATTGTGACAGAGATTGAATAGTGTGCAAATGGAACGCATCGTTCTTAAAGGGAGAGCAAACATTATTGTGACAGAGATTGAATAGTGTGCAAATGGAACGCATCGTTCTTAAAGGGAAAGCAAACATTATTGTAATAGAGATTGAATATATGCATTAAGACCGAGCGTTGTATTATCAGAAGGAACTCCTCCTTCTTACTGTAATTATTGTGTTCCTATCTACCTCATGGCGTTTTGTTTTTCTTATTCTATGTGTGTTTCTGACAATCTAGATAAATTTGTCGCGTAAAATGGTAATCGCTTAACTTAAGTTGGCAACTTACCAGCCACCAATGGCGTTGACGTCAACTTTATAGTACTATCACTCGAGCATAACTTACCCCGATACTCCAGGTCATAACGTCACCTTTATAGTACTGTCACTGGGGGATAACTTACCCTGCCACTCCAAGCCGTGACGTCAACTTCATAGTACTGTCACTGAGGGATAACTTACCCCGCCACCCCAGGCAGTGACGTCAACTTTATAGTTCTGTCAGTGGGGGATAACTTACCCCGCCACCCCAGGCCGTGACGTCAACTTTATAGTACTGTCACTGAGGGATAACTTACCCCGCCACCTCAGGCCGTGACGTCAACTTTATAATACTGTCACTGAGGGATAACTTACCCCGCCACCCCAGGCCGTGACGTCAACTTTATAGTTACCGGCATTCCAATAGTTAAAGTCGTCACGGAAGGCTGGAAGAATTTAGAAATGAAAAGAAGAAATAACATTTTCTTTAAGTCGTATATGAGTTCACCATTTACCGTACATATACATGCTGTATGAATTGGACTAGATGGCACCGCTAAGGGAAGCAACTCGTAACGTTTTTGTTATGATTTTGTCCGTTTTTCAAAAATAACAAACAACCGAAAATGTGATTTTATAAATTTCACGTTATATTAAAGAACATTATCAGGGACATTGTGTAAAATTTTATCTTTTCTAGTTCAGCAAAGATATTTATGCTGGGGTCATGTGAATATGACATACGGCTATCGTTAGACACGCGCATTGCCGACCTAATGTTATCTCATTCAGATCGAAAGGTTATAAAATGAAATGGAATCAACCAATGATATGATTATTGTAGTGGAGGAGGAGACCCGGGAGAGAAGAAACAGATCGACAGGAGATGTGAGAAAAAAAAAACAATGCCATTTTTATTTAAGAATATTGATGTATAAAAAAATCTATTCACGGTTTATTATCCGAATTTTGATATTACAAATGTTGAAGCAATGGCTATGAAATATTTCAACTTTTCAAACTTTGGGAAAAATCTTGATCCTGCATTTGCCACACATTAAAATCTCTGCAAAACAATCAGTCTGTTTATATAAATATTTTTAGCCTTAATATCGAGCCATGAATTGACAATACTGCTGATTACTATCAAGAATCTTCAATATTTGTGGTAAATGAGAGAACGTTCCCGAATGCACAGTCCGTGATTTTAAAATCAAATTATTTTCCAAAACATAATTAAGAGCCACAAATATTAAGTGCATATCACCCGGCCACACCAATAGATAACATAGATAATAACACTTGAGTGAATTTTACGATAAATTCCAATGTCATGTCATATCGTACATGGTAATTGAATGACGTCATGTGCGCGTGTTGAGCGCTTGCGTTGCGTGCGAGTGTCTTTGGGTGTGTCTGTGAGTGTGAGCGGAAGGCTGAGATATGTTCATTCATCTACCGACATTTCAATGAATCTTAATTCAGCCTCGGAATGGCCAACTACGACAAGAACGCAAGAAAAAAAGATTAATCCAAGTAATTAATGTCATGTTCTTCAAATGGGAACAAGATCAACAAAACTTTACCAAATCGTAAAGCAGCATTGACAAGGTACTTAATTAAACACCCAGTGATTATGACACAATTATTTAAGTGTTGGATGCATGCTTTTCCTTTGGAACTTACCAAAATATTGGTACCCACTATATATCTTTTTAATGGGACAATTCTTACAAAACACTTCGGACATTTTTCCCTGTTATCATAAACTTTTCATTGTTTCCAAAAGCAAACGATTGCTTTTTGTTTATGAATATGTACTGTGTTATACTGTAAACTCATTTTATTTCGCGGAGTTTTATTTTCGGTTACTTTATGGGTATCCTTCATCCAGGACTTAAAATAAAATTGATTTAAATGTCTGATATCGATCAATACTTTGGTTTCTACCATTTGATGAATTAAAACGCCTCCAAGATATCTGGATGAAAATCACTAGGAAATCTCATGGACATAACTGTCATGTATATTAGTATATCGATCACTTATTGCAAATATTTTCACGATAGAAGATAATAAAACAGATAAATTGAATTGATAGAATAAACAGATTCTGTTTCGTTATTTCCATAAAACAAGGTTATGGCAAACCCGAGAAAAATGTATTCATCAAAAAGAAATATTTAAATACCTCCTCCCAGAATTTTCCTCGCTTGAAATGTCTTTTAAGAAAATAAAATAAAAATATTGATACAATCTGGTGTAATACAGTACCTGTGACGGCCACAAGCGGCAACAGGACTAGAGCTAGGAGCCGAGCCATGACTTCACCAAGAGGTGTCTTGTACAGTAGAGCACAGCCTTATAAAGTCATTGATAAGATCTTATCAGTCTGTTACATAAAATGGACGTCAACAAAATATGTCCGAGGTCAGCGAACCTCTGCACTAGAAACACTTTTTTGAGCTGTAGAAAACGATACTATACCAATAACCCTACACTAAATAACCCGTACTGTAGAAAACGAGCGACATTCTATCACCATATCAATAACCCTACACATAATAACCCGTACTGTAGACAGCGAGTGATATTTCATCACCATACCAATAACCCTACACATAATAACCCGCGCTGTAGACAACGAGTGATATTTCATCACCATACCAATAACAATACACATAATAACCCGTGCTGTAGACAACGAGTGATATTTCATCACCATACCAATAACCCTACACATAATAACCCGCGCTGTAGACAACGAGTGATATTTCATCACCATACCAATAACCCTACATATAATAACCCGTACTTAAGACAGCGAGTGATATTTCATCACCATACTAATAACCCTACACATAATAACCCGTGCTGTAGACAGAGAGTGATATTTCATCACCATACCAATAACCCTACACATAATAACCCGTGCTGTAGACAGAGAGTGATATCTCATCACCATACCAATAACCCAACACATAATAACCCGCACTGTAGACAGCGAGTGATATTTCATCACCATACTAATAACCCTACACATAATAACCCGTACTGTAGACAGCGAGTGATATTTCATCACCATACCAATAACCCAACACATAATAACCCGCACTGTAGACAGCGAGTGATATTTCATCACCATACTAATAACCCTACACATAATAACCCGTGCTGTAGACAGCGAGTGATATTTCATCACCATACTAATAACCCTACACATAATAACCCGTGCTGTAGACAGCGAGTGATATTTCATCACCATACCAATAACCCAACACATAATAACCCGTACTGTAGACAGCGAGTGATATTTCATCACCATACTAATAACTCGGCACTAAGCAACCCTCACTAATGACAACATGGATACGAATTGTACAAGGAACATACAAATTTTAAAAAATTGTGACGTCTTTAAATTTAGTTTCATTGTCCTATGAATTGATATTCTTTCTTTTCTAGCAAAATGATATGTGATCAATATATCTAATACAAAGGTAATTCATTCAATTTCTTGCCGACACAATTATGAATATATTTATTTACATGTAAGGTTCGTAATGAATCTGTTTTCTATGTACGGTAGTACGTATTTGGAGTTCGTTACTTGTTTAACCGAAATAAAATTCATCGCATTTAGAACAAATTATAGCATAAATAACATTCTTTGATCTGCAATCCATATCTGAATGAACAGAGAACTTTGATTCATTCTTTTTAAAAAATGACTACGTTTAATTATCATAAAACATGTACCACACCAAGGGGTCTTCCATTTGGCCACTTGGGAAATAAAATTAGAACTATCTTATTAAGAAAATGGCAACGTTTGTTTCAAATGCCTTCTTCTATGCAAAAATTGTATATTCATCTAACTGCTTTTTTCACATTTATTTTTCATTACGGATTACATGTTCAAATATCTTTGATCAAAAGTTGAAACACATCGAACATTTTTTTCAACTTTTTTTTTGTTCCTGTCGAAAAGACTTTTCAATATATATATAACATGAACTGCTATTCATATGAATTAAACGCGTTCGTTTCATTTGTTTCCTTCTTTAGCACAAGACACTTACTCTTCCGGAACACATGGACCTTTCTTTTGTTCATAGTACGTCCTAGTTTTAAGTTGTGTTAGGACTATGATTTTGCCGGTATTTTTGGTTTTATTTCGAGGCATCCTATGGACATTTCATTTTGAAGCAAACACCCATGATTTCTTTAATCAAGTATCCGTTATTAGGCAGGTATATGTACTTAAATATTCGTAACACGTGTGCAGTGTTTTTTGCAGCATACAAGGATAAATTCATGAATTTTCCAAAGGTGACAGTGATATCTTCTATAAGCATTATCCAATAATACTACAGTCAATTACAATGGGATCATGTTGTTGAGAACATCGGGAGCATTATAAGAGTCTAGATATTTTTTTTTTTTTTTAAACAATTTTACTTTATTAAAAGCAGTGAAGCCTCTGTTTGTTTTCCCCCGTTGTCACTGATTGTTCTTAAGTTATTACATTGAAAGCATACAGCCAATCATCACCGTAAACATTGTATCCTCTCCTTTACTATGTCTGTATATTGGTAAGGACTTTGAACGCTAAACGAATATCTGTTTTTCCTTAGTGCCCCTCTAATAGCTCTAACCATTTCAAAACAGATCCCTAACAGGTTGTTGACTATCCAGCGCTGGTCATCTCCATGTTCCTTGCCACATTTTGCAAGAAGGAGATGTGGTACTTGCTTTGTGACCTGTTTTATTGTCACCAAGATCATTGGAGCATAGGAACGACAGACTTGCTGCATAGGGAACCGGAGGGAAAACAAGAAAATACAAAGTTTTACCAGCTTCTGGTATAGTTGGATGGACAAAACTGCTGAGCGTTAAATATGTTATCTGACACAAATCCTTCCCGACATTTCTGAGGTAAGATGTAGCCAAGCCCACAACAAAGTGGTTCATATCTCGTTACACTCAAACTTTTCACCAAATCCAACATACATTTTCTTGGGGAAATAAAGTCTTCACATATTCGCAATGTTTTATGTAATTTCCAGTCTGGAAGTAATATGCTGTTAGCGTTCCTCGGACTTGTAACACAGAGGCAAGTTGTGTCAGCAGATTTCTGCTTGTTTTCACATACAGCTGTGTGTTCTCATTTCTAAATTACATATGACACATGCCAAGACGGCGAAATCTTGGAGGACGGGACCTCAAAATATAAAGTAATGGCGAGGACGGGACCTCAAATATAAAGTAATGACGAGGATGGGACCTCAAATATAAAGTAATGACGAGGATGGGACCTCAAATATAAAGTAATGGTAGAACGTAGGCTGAACTATTTGTTTAACAAAATAGAGGTTAGGACAGGATATAGAATGCCTGCTCTTGATGACCCACAGATTGTTAAAAATCTGTTCTCACCACGTGATCGGATGTGGTCACTTATCTTGTCTTTGCACTTTATTATTGATACTTTATCATAGAACTGCGGTCACGATAACGGCATGACTTGGATTGATAAAAACAGCTCTCTATTCTTCCTAAATTTGATATCAATTTCAAAAGTAGATACTGACAGCCTTGGAAAAATATACACTTGTATAAAACTGCACTTAGTCAGTGATGTACAGCACAATGTGAAAGTCTTTTCCAAAGCGACTGACGGAAAAATTACATCTTATATAATACGAGTCGTTCTAAAGCTCACCCGACTTAACTAAGGGTCTTCCATATTTTTCAGTGGAATGTCAACAAAATATGATGATTCAATCAGAAAAAATTCTCTCATCACTATTGATAACTTCTGAATGTACTCACTGTCACAGTACGTTAGAAAGGTTATTGTCATCGAATTAATATTCGTTCACAATTTTTGAATTCGACTCGATAATCAAACCTATGACAATCTACTCGAGGTTTTATATACCTCTGTACAACGATACTTATGGTGGCTGATTCGGGACATCGTAATATCGCTTCGTTTAATGGGAAGCGAGATTGCGATATTACGATACCATGATGCGATATCACGATAGTACGATGCGATACTACGATAGCACGATGCGATATTGTGGTATCGCATCGCGCTATCGTAGTATCGCATCGTGGTATCGTAATATCGCAATCTCGCTTCCCATTAAACGAAGCGATATTACGATGTCCCGAATCAGCCATCATAGATACTAGTTAATGTAAATTAATCCTGGAATCATCAAAAGATCTGTACTTTTATTTCTTCTATAACAAATAAATAATATCCGTTCCTAGTACTAAATCTAAAACTAAATCTGCTACAGACTGCCTTCGATATATTGTTTAAAATCGTTCACATATAAATTCAAGTGTCACTGAGTCATTACACCAGCAACAGGAATCACATTGGCAAGACACGTCATACTTCTCCGTTAGTTTGAACATGAAACGATTAATTAACACATTACTGCTTGTAGTACAATGTTATACAAAAGGCACGTGCATAATAACACTATTGTGACGTCATAAAAAAGTTACGTCTAGATGACGTCATATGATTGCATCAACACAGAAAAACGTGCTGTCCACTTTTTTGCTTTTTGGTTTTTGTTTTGTAGGGGATACATTTGGGATCTTTTTTCCTTATTTTTCGGGAAAATGGGTTAATTGATACGTTGTATGTTGTGTCGAGGTAAAATGAAGTGTATCATACCCGTTAGATAATTTGATATGTCACTCGACTCCAGATCTTGAAGTCGTTTAATAAACATACGGTATGTAATATCCTTAATACACACTGTAAATAGAATTAATAGAGAAAAACCGCGGTTTTTGGTGATACATTTGTTTTTCAATTAACCGTGCGGTAGGTCTTGCAGTGTGACAATTCCAACCACGTCACGAAGGGAAAAAATGAAATTAATAAGGTTTTCTCTTACCATCACATTTCCCTGACTAGAATATTTAGTACTGTCACACATCACATCTCCTGCTCGTTCTCTTTTCTGGTTTGAAAATTGAAATGTGAAGATATTTTGTTTCGGCTCCTCAAACAGTTACCGATAAACACCAGAAGTTTCTTTCTGTGTGCGTTTGAGGGCAACTATGCATTAAAGAATTAACATTACTTGTATGCTATTCATAGCCCAACATAGAAGCACCGTTATTCCTCTGTTTTGGCTTGCAACAATTGATTTATGTGTTTGTAAGATCAGCACTATATCAGTTCAAGTTTTTGAGTCTCCCATCGGTTAATACCATCAAATTAAATTGAACTTTCAATGGCCTATTCACTGTTAAGGAGGTGCACCGTAACATTGCTTCCCGTAAGTA